CGGGGGGGGGGCAAAAGCCCCCGGCCAAGGGGGTGGGGGCGCTGCCACGACGGTGCCTGCCTCCCCCCCCCTCTCCCGTCTAGGCCAGCCTGCAAACGGGGAGGAGGTTCACAGGGCCGACCCCTCCCCACACCGTCCGGACCGGCCCTTCCTTTCCGGGGAGGGGGCCCCCCTGATTCTCCCCCCCTCCTGCTGCGGATCCCCTTCCCTCCCTCGCCCGCCCTTCCATCCCTGCCGCCGAGCAGGAGCCCAGGGGGAGCTGCCCGGCCACCTCCGCCTCCGCCCGACCTTTCTGCTCCGGGTCCGTGTCAGCGTCGCTGCCGAAGAGCTCCTCCATGTCCGCCATTGCGAGAGACGCCTGGGCGGACCCGGCAGAGGACCTCCCTCGCCCCGAAGGCGGGCGCCGCCGTTGTGACGCCATCAAGCTGCGACTAGTGTTGGCGGCGGAGGGTGAGGAAGGCCGCTTGGGGAAAGAGGGCCGCGGTTTGCACGCCCGTGGTTTTTTTTTTAATTTAAAGGGTTGGGCGAAACAGGGACACCAACTGTCGTTGGGATAGGGGGGAAAACAACCCTCCTTTAGCCGAAGTTCTCTATGGTTCCGAGGGGGACGCTCTAGCTCCAGATGTATCTATGGCGGAAACGCTGTCCCGCGTCCAACCGGAAGCATCGCCGTAGAGCTACGAAAAGTTAGAACTCGCTCTCTTTCCTCTCTCTTCCGGCGTGGAAGTGACAGCTGTCTGAAGAAAACCCGAGAAACCCCGTTTCCGGTGCTTCTGTGAACGAAATCATGGTCAGCACCGCCAAATGCTCGCCGTCTTCAATTTGGAAGGCCAAATAAGAGATGGATGGACTCCCTCAAGGAAGCCACAGGCTTGAAAGAGTTGGCCATTGCCGACGAGGGCTGCGATCCATCTCCTTCGCCGGGGTGACTGGACACGTGGGCGACTGCCTAGTCCACCAAAGGGAAACAACCCTTAGAATCGATAGAGGTTTTTTTTTTTTGGGGGGGGAGAAGAGACAGATTGTGGAAGTTACAGTTTTTTAAAAGTGACTTTTTATAAGCTCTGCTTTTGCACCTCTGCCTCATCACGTTTCCTGGAACCCCTGCACGTTTTATGTCAAGCTCTTTAATTATAGTATGAATTTTGTTTTTTAAAGAACCATACAAGTCCCTAAAGGTAAAGGTTCCCCTTGACATTTAGTCCAGTCGTGTCCGACTCTTAAGGGGTGGTGTTGCTCATCTCCGTTTCCAACCCATAGAGCCAGCGCCATCATGTCCCGCTATACAAGTCCTTAACCACCATTAAATTGGGAAAATGTCACTTTGTGCAAATTATTTCCAAAGAGAGACCTG